TCCAAATATTTTTTAAAATGTTTTTTTCATAGAATTGATTTGTCCAATTGACATTTCTTATGAGTGGGGTTTTGTTTTGTTTTTTTGTTTTTTTACAGAAGGATTTTTCAGAGTTCTTTTGTGGCTTAAAAACAATGTAAGACAACCTTTCCCAACTTGATGGCTCCCTGTTGGTTAGAAGTTCTAATTACAAGATTCCTATACAACACCAGGTTGGAAAAAGCTGGTGTAAGCCAATGGTAAAGTTATCAGATACCCTTATTACCTTCAGCAAGATTCAGCACAAATCTGCTGAGCTAACTAGTCCTTCATCTTGACTGTTTGAAGCATCCATTAAAATATTAGTTTTATTATATGCAATTTGAAGTCCTTTCAGGAATTCAAGATGTGTTTCTTCAACTTACTTAGCATTAAATAGAGACATGCACAGATTGCACAAAAAATAATGACATATTCTCATTTTCCTAGTGCAGACAAACATGCCATTTTATGATCAATGGTTGGGTTCACATATCAACTATAACATAGTATAGTTAATTTGATTTTGGGGTAGCACATTGTGTGAATCTAAGTATCTTGGCATATTGCTGTTCCAAATACATGGAGATTCTTCACTAAAGTCTGAGGAAAGCAGAGTCCCACATAAAGGACACAGGAGGTTAGAAAAACTACTTCTGAGTTCATGAAGCTGTTCTGTATTTCAGTAATGGATGAAAAATGGTAAACTTGAACCTCGATGTTTATTATATTACTTGTTTATTCTTTATGCAAAGAGTTGGTGCTGTCTAAGCCCATCTGAAGCAAATGGGGAGGGTGTCAAAGCATAATGCCAGGTGATAACAACTACTATAATGACTCCTTTATTCATCTGTTTAACACTTCCATGGATGATCCCAAAAGTTTTTTTGTTTGGTTGGTTGACCACCTCCGTAGGCTGGAGTTTCAATCTATGAGGAATAATGCTTGCATAGATATATGGGTCTGTGAGATTAATTTGTGACCAGGAATGGGATCAGAGAAATAACACTAGCAACGCTCCAAATTATGCAGGCTTCATGTTCAGGCACACCTATAAACCGAGAAGTACTTTTATCAGTACTGTTTAAAAAATAATCTTTCTTAACTTGGTGCCCTCCAAAAATGGTATGCTGTTAACAGTGATGGGAATTATAATCCAATACATCTAGAAAGCAGCAGTTGGGGGAGACTTTTTATTAAAGACTGAGAGGCTTTCAAGGCTCTTGAGAGGAAGAGGATACTGTACTGTATAAACGGTAAAATGCAATAATCCCAAAAATTATAACATCATGAAATCCAGAATGGATTTGCAACTCGTTCCAGAATGGGGGGGCTGCAGCCAAGAGGACCTGCCTCTAACATCCTTTAATGTTTCCTTGCAGTGAAAACGGAATGTCAACAATGTGGACGTTCCAGAATGGGGGGGCTGCAGCCAAGAGGACCTGCCTCTAACATCCTGTCCCCTAACATCCGGGGAGAGTTAGCTGCAGGGTACCCTCTTGGCCAGCTCCAGTTAGATGCGTAGATTGTATTTGAAGCAGATGGTCTGTGTTTAGCTCCAGATGGAAATGCTTACTTTTGAAATAGACTTCAGATTTTAGCCTTTAATGTTTCCTTGCAGTGAAAACGGAATGTCAACAATGTGGACGCTCACACTGCCTTTGGAACAGAAATGACATGTATACAATGAGGCAATGTGATACATTTATTTATTTATTTACCTGAAACGTATGTAAACTGCTTCCTATTTAAACAATTCTTGAAGCAGTTTGCAATAAAATTTCAATAGTTAAAGCAAATCTGTTTAAAGATTATTTCGGAGGCAGTCAACATTTGTAGGCTTCTTCACAGGGAAGTTGCTAAATAGCCTGCGGAAACAAATTTGCATGAGTCTGTGTCTATAGGTGAGCTTAGTGATAAATATTATTATTCTTGCTATCTCAACTGACTCCCAGGTATGGGCCTATTAGATAGATTAGTCTGAATATAAATATATTGGCTTACTTTTCAGATCTATTATAAAGTTTATTAAGGTGCTTTAATTGAAACATTTTGTACTCTTAGAATGTACTAAATAAATGCTAAGAATGTTTATACCCATGTATACAGTTTCCAGGACTTGCATAATTTATGCATCTGAAGTACGAGCTTGCTTACAGCAGGTCTAAGTAACAATGAAATTGTATTTTTAAAATGTTACAGCACTCCTAGACCATTTTTAATTTCATATACTCTTCTGTATTACTGGCTACCACTTCTTGGCACTATTCCCACATCCTCCCTTTATCCAGGATTCCCAAAATTGGTTGCCAGTTCCTGAGCTCTGCATGTGTGCATTCATAGTCTTTCTGCAGCTTTGACTTGGTAGAATAAGTTACCAGATTTTGTCCTCCTCTTCCCCCACCCCCCAACAACCCTGGAACCTCCAGGGTAGCCCATCTTGTCTTGAATGCAAGAAGATGTGAACTTTTACCTAGCTCTGATCCAAATGAGTGCAGCGGTTTTCTTTTTGTAGGGCAAGAAGACAGAAGAGCCCTTCTCTGTGGTGACTACAGGCTAGAGGAATTCTCTAGTGAGTTTCCACTTCACCGTAGTACCCAGTCCATCTGCCCAGGGGCCTTTTCCCATGTATGGCTAACAGCCTCTTTTCTCTCTTGTGTCCTGGCAGGTCCAGCAGGTCCAGGTCTTTGCTGATGTGCAGTGTACGGTCAACCTGGTGGGCGGAGACCCTTACCTGAACCAGCCTGGCCCCGTGGATACACAGAAAGGCACCACAGCCTCCCAGACCCCGCAAGCCCAGCAGAAAAGCCTTCTTCAGCAGCTACTGACTGAATAACCTGCTTTTCAAAGGAATGTGAAATTTAAATAAGACATACAGATATATATATATATATATATAAATATATATGTATATTATATATTTTTCTGAGATTTTTGATATCTCAAAAACCTGCAGCCATTCTTCAGCTCTTGTAGTATATGGAGCAAAAAAAAATCCCTCCTCCCCTTTTGGTTTTTAAAAAATGATGGATTTCAGCAAAGTGACAAGACAGAACCATTGAGCCAAATTTTACAGATTATCCTTATTTTTATAATCAGTTGCTGGCTTCTTTTACCAGAAGGAAATTACTGGTGGGGCTGAGGGTGGGGGTGGGAGAGGAAAAGGAAGGCATCTTGCTGTGGGGTGGGGAAGAAGGAAAAGGAGTTGAAGTCTCAGTTTCAGCTGGATCTGTCACTGATTTGCATCTTCAGCAAAGCAGGAAATGGGCAAATAATTGTGCACGCTCATCTCTTCTTTGGGAAGGGATATTCCTAGCTGTTCTTAAACATGTACGCCCTCGCTCACTGCTTGCCCCCAATTCGTTTGTGCAGTCAGCTTTTTCTTAGCAATTGTGAGTTTGTCAGTTTTAAAGAAAAATATTAATAATATTAATAATAATAATGATGATGATGATGAATATTTTGCCCCACCATTTTTTTTCATGTTTTATGCTGGTAAATAGACAGCCTCCTTAGCGACAAAGAGGCCTTTGTAGTATATGAACAACAGATTGAATGGGAGTTCCTATGAAAACTAATATAATTGTTGACAATAAAACATGTAAGTCCAGTTGGGGGATAATTGCAATATTTTTAGGGGGAGAGGAAGAGGTGGCTCTGAAAGCAATGCACCAAGTGCATCCCATCCATTTCCATGGGATTTGTGAGAGAGATGCTGGGCCACACACAATTCTTGTCAAAATGAAATGGAGGAGGTGAGCAGAAGTTCAAGTAGTAGTTCTGGCCACTATTGTAGATTTTTTAAAAGAGTGATTCAAATTGAGCAGTCAGCACTTCTGCTTTGATTCTGTTTAACAGCCAAGGTAGCTTAAAACTATTTAAAATAATATGGATTATGATTATAATAAAAAGGCGCTTCTCTGTGGAATGGGAGATAAGTTAATACTTTTCTCCCCTCAGGCCTTTTAATGTAAATAGCTCAGACTTCTTGTATAAATTGGTTTCTTTCTCTTTTTAGTTGGGGGTTGCTCTTAAATAGCATCGCTTTTGGAAGGGGTGGGGGGATTTCTTTCTTTTCTCTCTTTCTGAAATTTTGTTGATGTGTGAAAACAAAACCGTGTAGCTTTTGTTAAATGAATTTGCAAGAGTTTAAAACACAAAGAGACAAAACTAGTGGCTGATGTTGCATTATTGCTTAGGAAAGAGGGCGTGGACTTATATTTATCAATATATTTATCAATTTATCACGGTTTGGAAGAGAAACAGCTTCATGAGAGGAAGGGGCTGATAATAAAAGAGAGCTTGCTCAACAGGGGGCTTGACCATCAGGGTCTACAAATAGTTCAAGGCATCTCTAAGGTGCAGAGATCTGCCCTACGTGATGACATTCTAACGTTCAGATTTTCTCCTGGTTTTAGCCATATGGATTTTTTAAAAATAAAACCTAGGATAGAGAACGTCCACTGCTTAGACCTGAACTAAATACCAAAGTCCAGCATGCTCTGTTCCCACATTTTATGGCAACATTCAATGCTCTAATCACACAAGGGTTTGGTTTCACAGAAATCTCAGCATCAAGATGAAGTATCATGAAAGGATTAAATACATTCATCCTACTGAACATGCCTCAGTAGTACAGCACTTAGCTTTTTTAAGATCAGTCAAGATTGGCTAAGAAGGATTAGGTCTAGTTATTACTCAGACAGGATATCAAGAAATTGAAAGCTATAAGTTAGACTAGGAAGTTGAAAAAAAAATCTCAAAAAGTGGCAACAGAAAACCACTTAAACATAAGTGTACTTGTCATAATTGGGAATAGAACTCAAGTTGATAGAGACCAACTTTTTTTTTTTTTTTTGAGTAAATATCCATGTACCCAAACCGGAAGAGACTTATTAACTAGCTGAGCCTTGATCTGTTCTAACCACGCCAGTTTGGAGGAATGTATTGGTTCATCTATTGTCATTCACAGTATCACATATTTATGCCTTTACCAGAAATAGGAGAGACTGGAAACAAAGCATTTATTACTTCAATTAGTTTAATTTGTCCAAGACTACACACATACCTAATTAACTGCTTTTCAGCCTTTGACTAGCCAATCCAGATACTGTGAAAACAGTCCCAAACTATAGCCATTATAAAGCCATAATCTTTTTTAGTAAGAGGCTAATAAGACAGCATGAGTAATTCTCAAATATTGCAACACAGACTGTGATTTCAATATAGGATTTTTACAGTGGATTATTCAATGCATTCACTTGGGATATAGAGTATTAAAAAAAATCAAAACAGCAGTCTTAAATGAATTACATGCCATTAAAGTTTTTGCAGAAGATATTTTTCTGCTTCAGAGTAGAAAGGACTAGATACCTAAGCTTCTGCTTCCAATACATTAGGCTATGATATACTGTAATTCACTAATTTGTGACTCAGTGAGTTGTGAAAATGCAGCCTACATATCACAGGGAGCAATTCAGTATGGTAGCCGTCATCCTTCCTATTATTCAGAAAGAGCTGTTACCACCAGATTAATTTAGCAGACTCCTGGTCTGATCTAGAAGAGCAGTTTTGGATTAGACTGCCAATTTACCAATCCACCACCACTCTTCCCATAATGGCCAATCAAAATGAAGACTATGTCCACAAGCAAGACTTAAGATTTTTCTTCCTATTGCTTTCCAGCATTTGATATTTACAAGTTGTGTCACTACTGATCCTAGCAGCAGCATATAGCTATTATGAACAGAGGCCACTGGCTGCATTTGTATAACAGACTGAATAATGAATGGTACCCAACCACATTTTAGCCTAGTGTGTTGAATGAAGCCCATCTGATTTTATGGTCCAGTGCAAATACACAAAATTGAGTTAACTGATTAAATTATGGTCAAACGTACCATGCAAACATAGCCATAGATTCTCTCTGAATTTGTCTAATTCTTTTTCAAAATTAGAGTTGAAGACCATCATCACCAGTTTGTGAAAGAGAATTCCATACTTCTACTATGTATCAGGCAAAGCAATACTTCCTTCTGCCTATCCTGGATATCCTACTGTTCAGCTTCAGTGGATAGCACACTTCTCCCTATTATTGCTTCATACCTTGCTAAATTGAACCACACTTAACATTCTGTTACACATTCACCCAAAATAGAGGTGTCTCTTTGGAGCTCTTTGAAAGTCCTTTTCATTTCTACCCTCCTGATGTTATCACTGCTCAACCCTAACTCCATATCATTTGTGAATAAATTTAAAAATGCAGGTCTCAAAACAGATTATTGAAACTCTTTTCTTACACCCATAACAGAGTTATTTATTCATGAGGCTTCATCTTCTTTATTCATAAATATTATGCCTTTAGTTAGATTTTGTCAAAAGCTTTCTAAAAGCGCAGCAGGGTTTTTGTAATGTTGTATACATTTCAGCATCTACTGTATGTACTACTACTATAGTGCTATTTGTGCACATAAAAGAAACCAGAATATTTTGCTACCCAGAATATTATTTCCCTAATATAAATCTGTCAGAATAAGTAACCAAATCCCAAAGTAGTGGGAGCAATGATAATACCCTGAATCCTCTCTTTAATAACATTAGGGTGCCCAAAGTTTCCTCTTAAACTGAAAAAGTTGTCTTATGCCAGAACATGAGATTTCTTGCCTCCATATGATGTGAATCCATTATTCTTTAAGCATCTTTATGAAATATTTTGATTGAAGTAAATTCTTGCATCTTACAATGCTCCTATTATATTCCAAAGGGAGCCTGTTCACCACAAAAACCAAGTGAATAGTTTTCTCTGGTCAACCATGTTTATGGCCAGAGAGGAAAAAGATCATTTCAAGAGTCTGAAATTCTTTAGATGATGGTGTACATGCTCCTTCAGGTAGGGGCGGAGGGCAATGCAAGTAGCTATGTTTTCTGGTTGTTCTATCCAGACTTTATGATCAATGCCGTTCTGTTGCAGCGTCTCTGCTAATGTACTCAAGGCACACTCATCTGGAGCCTAAGAAGAAAGGGAAATCAATCTCAGTGCAATACAGCATCAAAGATTTATGTAGCATTCATTGGTAACCTCTGCCTTGCTAAAGCTAAAATGACCAGGAACCCCAGAAATTATCTGCTTAATTTAAAATAGCAATTAGCATCAATTGTGCTATACTCTAGTAAACTGCCCTTTTGGAGATCTTACTCAGCGATGGCAATAGCTGCAGATCTAAATGCACTTACAAAGAAGTAAGTCTCATTCCATACTAATGCTGTGATGCATAGAGTTGTGCTGTAATTGGGAAGGAGTTACAGCTGTCAGTGCATCTTAATGGCTTAGCAACCAGTAACAGGCATTCCTTGAAAAAGGAAATGCGTTAAAGGTAGCATCACAGATTTTATCTGCCCATTCCTTTCCTCCACCACTTTGACAGAATCAATGCTACAACCCAAAGGCTTGAATCCAATGTGTCCAGTCCTCTCTCCTGTATGCAGCTTTGCCAGTTAGAATTCCCTACCCACAAAGTAATTTTTTAGGGAAACCAGGAAAAACACATGTTCCATGATCATCTGTTAGATTCCAAAGCATCATCATGACTAGAAATCTATAAGCTTATTCAATCATCAGATTTTTATTTCCATTTCTGCTCCCTCTACACCGGTCTATGGTTAAAGGCCATACTAGATAAAGCAGTGGTCTGAACCAAAGCCCTTTCAAGTACAGTAAAAGCTCTCTAAAGGAGCAGCAGCCGTTTGTCTGCTAAGACAGAAACAATCAGCCTCCTGGCACCTTAAGACTAGCAGAGGACCTATCCAGCCTTCCCTAATTTGATACCTTCCAGACTCGATGTACTACAATTCCTATCATCCCCAACCAGTTGGAAATGGAAGAAAGCAATAAATATAGGGACCATCAGCTTGACGAAAACTAGCACTTGCAGAAATCAGGATCACGCACGTAAAAGCTTTTGAAACACTGGGTTTCAGACTCGCAAGTTAATGCAGCCACACAATACAGTAGCGTTGATACCAGCCGTTTTGCAGGACTGTTCCGTGGATTTTAAGGTTATGTCTGTGCCCAAATGAATCTCTATCGAAAGACCCCCGTTCTCTGCGCCTGTCAATCAACAAAGCCCACCCGAGGGGAGTCGTCCTGTGGGTCAGGCAGTGCTCACCTCCAGCACCACGGTCCTCATGCTTCCATCCTGGGCTAGATAAGCCGCGGTGTCTGGGTGCTCATAGTGTGCATGGACCACGGCCAAGGCCGCGTGGCAGGCCTGAGCCACCGAGGCCCCCAACGGCCACGAGAAAGGTTCGCGTGACAAGTCGCCCCTCAGAACCACGTACTGCACCAAGGAGCGAGCCGCCGCCATCTTGAAGCCGGAAACGCGTAATGGCTAAAGGAACTCTGGGAAAAGATAAATGCAGGGCGTCCGTACAATAGGATAATTTAAGGAGTGGGGGTAGCCATCTTGCTGTACGTCATGGAAATCACAAGCTGGGAGCTTATAGTTGAGGAACCTGACGTGAGAATCGCTCGCGAGGCATTTCGGGAAGAAGGGGAAGTCTCCGTCCTGGCGTCGGGCAACGTACTTCCGAGCGCGGGGTGTCGTTGCTGGGTGGCGGGAGTTTTGAGCCCGTTCGAGGCGAGTTAACTGCTGAGCGATCGCGGTGAGTTTTGGCAGGCTCGCCTGGCAAGTCCTGAAGCTGGCTGCGTCTAGAGGGAGACTGGACCACTCCCTTCTAAGGGCCGCTGCCTCCCCTCCTGATTCGGGGCTCCGCGCCGGCCTCCTGGCTTTCCCACCCGTAAGGACAGATAGCGCCCGGGGAGGCCAATCTGGTCGTCTCAGCGGCTTCGAAAGGCGGCCATAAAAACAAGAGCGAAGCGGTGGTGGGAGAGCCTACGTTCGTTCGCCTCAACGGTTCCGAAGGTAATTTCCATCCTCCCTGGCTTTGGAGATCGCTGTCCTTTCGCGATTCTTAAGGGTGTCGCCAGGTTCTATGTCTACTGCCTTTTCCACAAACGAGGAGCTGAGACTAGCAATTTAAATGAGTATAAAATATAAGGAGAAACAGCCACGCAAGCTTCCGAACATGTGGACTCCTGAGTTGAACTATAATGCCCATTATTCTCAACCACTAATTGTTCTGGCTACGGATGGTGGGGATTGCAATGCAGTGCATTTGATGGCAGTGGGGAAATTGGCCAGTGTGGTTGCAATGGTGGGTTAATGTTTAAAAAAGACCAAGTGTGTACTGAGCTAGTAGAGAATCTCTTTAAACCAGGGACTTGCTTCTTAAAAGAATTAATTCTGTCCCAGAATTACTTGGACTTTTCATCACTGACATTCATTAAGCAATTCTTTCTGTGTTAAATTTCTGCAGGCACCTGAGGAAGTTGTCCCAATTCTAGAACTGAGGAAGAAACTCTTCTGGGTTTGGGTATTTTGGCAGGTGGGGGCTTGGGTTTTTTTTTTTAAGGAATCAAAAGTTGAAAATGGGAGAAGTTGCAATTTCCTTTCCAGATGGTAAGTTATCAGACAGTAATGTGCAGGTAACTACTCTGTTCTAGTTAAAAGTGTTTAAAGGGAGTAGAATGGGTTCCCTCATATAGTACCCAACGGCTTTTCTGTACTACTTATCTGAATGGAAGATCAAGCTACTGCTGTAGTCTGTTAATTAACATTGAAGAATTAGAAAGTCAGTGTCACTGATTCTTACTCCTGTTACCTGAAGAAATTCTGAAGGTTTGGGCAATTATTATCTAATTATAATTGGGTCTTAAGTTACCATGCTGCCTATCTAACTTGTAGAATTATAAGTTGTTCTAGAATCCCAAGCAGATAATAGACATAAACAAAAAAGCATGCATACGTACAAGCATGTTTCTAAGACAAGAAACAAATAAGCTCAATCAACAATTTTTAATATATTTTTGAAAGATATTTTATTTATTAAATATTTATCTTATTGCTTTGAGTTGTATACTACTTAAGACGTTTTCAGAAAATTGGTGTATACATGTTAATATTTGATACAGTGAATGAATTCTATAAAGGCAGTTAAGTAAGTTCTATAAAAACTTCATGAGAAGAGGATCATTTTCACCTGGTAACTGAGAGACAGCAAGGAGACTACTGTGTTAATATTTTTAGCAAGAAATCACATGTGTGAGCATCATTACAGAAAAGGCCCTTTCTCTAGGGAGCATCCAGTGAAGTATTATTGAAGATTTTCCTAGTAGTTTCTATTGCTAATATTAGATGGCTTAGAACCTAAAATAAGTTAATAAGGAAGCTCATAAAAGATAAATTTCCTACTTTCCTCCTACACTGACTGGAAAGTTTATTGAGCAGGAACACTCCTGTATATTATGGAATTAAGCTGGAGGCCTAATAGGGTATAGAGTAGGAGTGAGCAGGAACACTCCTGTATATTATGGAATTAAGCTGGAGGCCTAATAGGGTATAGAGTAGGAGTGAGCAGGAACACTCCTGTATATTATGGAATTAAGCTGGAGGCCTAATAGGGTATAGAGTAGGGGTATAGGGGAAAGAAAATTCTTTCTGTAATTAACTTGGGATTCAAGTTTTGATTTGGAGTGGCTCTCTCTTCCAGCAGCATCTATGTTCCCTGAGGCTTCCAGAGAGAATTTGAAGGGGATAGC